GTAATTGTTTATGTATTCTTTATTAAGTGTGGTCTCTGATAGTCTCAAGCCGTCGCCCATCCAATCGCAGTAACAATCCGGTTTCCAAAATATTGTCTAGTGGTGCTCGAGTTTCGTCAAGCGTAGGGAAAACACTAAAATAATTAGCAAATTCGGCGTTTTTTCGCCTTTTATGTGGTATCGCCGGGAGGACCGGCCCTCTGCGTTATCCCATTTAATTGGAGCCCTCTTATTTCCTCTGTCTGAGACTAGGGCCATCTCAAACTCAACCAGCACTTGAACCTGATGTTTTGTAATCAGATTTTTATAGTTACAATATAGAACATTATGTAGGGATGTGTGGCACACAAACCTTCCAAAAAGTATCATTAATCATTTGATTTGAAACCTTATAATAAAAGTATTAAGTTCATAATCTATTGGAAAAAACATCATTTACCTAAGTACTTGTCAACGTTTCTACTTTTCAATGTGTCCATTCCCAATTTGTCTCAATAACTAGGACTGGTTTAATGCTGAAACGAAGTCAGACTTTTTCAAGATCTCAAAAATTGCTGGCTGGTTCCGCCATATAATCAACCATTAAACCTAATAGTATTTTTTAAAGAGTAACTTTTAACCCTTTGTGCTAAATATGTTACGAATGGGTTCACCATGATAGTCCAGCAGCAGGAAGTTCGAACCCGCATTCCTCAGACTTCGATTTAACCAGTCTTCCATAGTTCCTTTCATCATTCTAACTATTCAATGCTCATCATTTTGATTCCCAGGCAATTTGATCCTTAATCTTTGCTTCTTTGGGTAAGTCAGCATCTGGGTCACACACAGGATGCCACCAATATAACCCCAGAGGGATTGTGCACAAATTACCTGTCGGTGCGTTTGTGCCTCAATTGGACAATTGAGGAATGAGTTACAATCGGTATAGGTAAGTGAGGACAATTGCCCATGAGTGTGATAGGCGATGATAAACATGTTTGTAGAATGGTTTCCTGTATCAATATGCTTTGACAATCAATTGGCATCAAAAATAAACTGTTTTTAAAATAAACAACTTGAAAAAATCGAACTGCCTAAGGCGGGAATTGAACCCACGACCTTCCGCTTGTCGGGCGACTGCTCTATTCGCTAAGAATTCTCTATCTAAAAAACTGTTTTGATCAGTAAATATGCTTTTTCTATGTGATTTCGACTTAGCTAAATAGAAGCATTCCCACTCTTCCCGTAGATGTCTTAAGAGGAACTAGGGGATAAATATACTTATCAACATCAGGCCTCTTCGACCCGTCTGGCAGTGTAGTAAGTGTAAGCCAAATCCTACATTTGTTTCTGGTGAATTAGAATACAAGCCGTTTTCTTGCAGTACAGACCAAATTGCTCTCACAGTGGCAACAGCTGTTTTAATTTTCAAACACAAAACTTATTTTAAGTATTAACTGCTCTTAACGTACGAGCATCGTTATTCAGCAGTGTCTAAAGCCCGCTTTGATTTGTACTGTGCTTTTGTATTATGCAAAAATCTTTTATGGGTGGATTACATGAGACCATTGACCGCGACTCAGCTCAGTTAGCAGATTGTTAAGCTCATTTTATTGTTCTTTATTTGTATGCCTGTTAGAGTCTAAAGTGGTTTGCATTTGTATCAGCCAGGTTTTGCTCATTTATATTTCTCTGTTGTCGGTTTTGGATTTGAGGCAATTCATTAAAGATTCAGGTAATTAGGGAAAATCTTATGAATTATATATTGACAAAGGAATTCCTCATCGCATCATTGTTAGAGAGTAAAGAGTTCTGATTTTGACTGAGCTTTCGACTGTTTTGGTTTTTATGATAGGTTTTTTTTAAAGAAATGCTTACTTATTTTCTTTTCCATTTAGTATCAAAATAAGTATCGGAGTAAAAGTTACAATTTCATAAGTTAACTACCTACTTTATGTAAACCTACGTAATTACTATTCAAGCATCGTTTTTTCGTAATATCGTATTTACTTCCGTAATTTTGTTCAAACAAATCAATTTCCCACCGCTTTTTGACCGAACTAAATACACCATAAAACTCTATTCACGAAATATTTTGACTTCACTTAAAAGCCAACTTAATCAACACGATACGTTCTTATCAGCGCCTTTGGCCAAACATCTCTGATCTAACAACACGTCATTGACCATTAGACCCATAACGAACTCTGTTACTACGAAATTAAAGTACAATTTTGGTTGACCAAAATATTACTAAAATAGTGTTATTCATTATGCTACTGTTATATTTAGCGTAGCTCCATTCAAATTTAATTACTCGGACCCTTCAAATACCGGCGTTTGAAACGAAAAATAAGTTTTCAGTGGGATCAATAAACAAGCGACCTGATTAAAAAGGTTAGGGTGCTGGATGCAGACAGTCATTGATCGCAGTCGCTATAAAACAATGGGGGAAGCTCGGTTGTGGATAAATGCCAAAATATTTTTCGTAGTGTTGTGAGGAGATCGAATGACGATCTGAAGCAATAGTTTGTTACCTAAATACAGTAACGACGAGTATCAAGCCTCTACCAGCTAAATAAGCACAGTTTGCATCTACGAATTGTTTTAATGTATTTGCTATTAAGCTTCACTAATAACCATAAAAACAAGTTAAATAAATAAATAATAAATAAATATTCTTGGACATTTTACACTACGCTTCTAGTCCCAAACTAAGCAAAGCTTGTACTATGGGTACTAGACAACGGATATATAAACATACTTAAATACTTTTTTTTTGTAAATACATACATATTATACATAAAAAACACCCAGACCCGTCACAGAAATTAAAATTCTTCATTTCAATTTCTGCCCGGCCGGGAATCGAACCCGGGACCTCTCGGCATAGTAGTCCGTTCTGAACCGTACCAAACGGCCGACAAATAACTAATTACATAGCTCAATTGTTTTATAATCAGCCTATGCAGACACTGCAATTTTGGAGTATGTTAGTCTTTCATAACACAGTAGACACAACAATTTTATAAACATGATTGTTCGCTTCATTAAATTAACTATCTCAGGTTGTTTTGAAACACCTTAAGCTTGACGATTGATTTAACCACTAAGCTAATCTGTCGTTTCCAAGTGTAATTTACATTGCAAGCCGGCGTGTTTTTTGATATCTCCCATTTTGTTTCTGGTACTACCAGTACTACTTTATGTTAGTGACCATGAAAGTTTAAAACAATACCTATATCGGTACTACTTATCCCACGCCTATTAATTTCCGCAATGTAATCATATTGCCACTACAATGTAATCATAATATGTATCACTATTACTAATGTTCTTGTTTGCCCGAATCATTGTAAATGTCTCTACGACCAATTCAAGATTATTACAGCATAAAGACTTGCCCAATTGTCTTATCTCTATCGTGCGCTCTACATTGACATAAGCTTCATAGCAATGAAGATTGTCACAGACTTGTTTGTCGAGGCGTGTAAACACCGCTTAATGTGCTGCTGCGGAAATTTTATCATTCGTATCCGATGTGCTATTGATTCAGCTTAATACCTGTAGCTTTAATTTACGCTTAAAAGTAAAAATGTAACGAATTCCAACTAAATGGGAATGATAATACATACCCTATTGTTGAAGCAAATATTAGGATTATGCGCGTACACACCAACGCGAAATGTATTATTGATGGTACCTTTTTTAATATGGAAAAAATCGATAATCCTATATTTTTGAAATGTGCTTTATCAAAATTTGTTCTGTAATAAATCTGATGTTTTTATCTTTAGTTAGTTAAGGGCTAATTTTTCAATCGTCGGATAACTTTTAACTGAAGAATAAGTTTGGCACATTGACAGTTTTAGTATGGGAAATATGTCAAAATGACAAGACTAATATCTGACGATTGAAAAATCAGCCCTTAGTTATACGAGTATACTTAGTTTACTATCATTTCATATTTTAAGAGACATTTTGTCCCTAACACTATTCTGAAACAATGACGAATATCGGGTTCCCCATAACGATCCTTTCATCTACTTCAAGGTTCTTATAGTTGGTTTAGCAGTTTAACCATGAAAACTTAACAAACAAATACAGACATAATTACTTTCTTCTTAATTATTTAAAAGCAGTGCGTAAATAAGCTTTTCTAGTCCCATATACCTTATCCTCCTATTTTACACTGAATTTATATTCTAGTTCGAAACTCACGGGATAGACATGGTAGCAAATGGAATAACCTACTTCACTACTTGTTTGTTTGAGGCGAGTAAACATGATCGGCGCGAGCACAACGCTATGGAGGCAACTTTTATGACTCCTCTGCTTCCATGCAATCGATTGTTCTTACAACATCCGCCAATAGGACTATCTCATTGATTTTTTCTTACGAAGAATGATCTACTATTAGTGTTTACTACTAAAATCAATATTGGGGCCGATAAAAGAAAATAGAACAACTCTCTTAAATAAATAATAATCCTCAAAAATCTTTCGACATCTCTCTACTCTCATTTTCCGCTCTTCATCACTGACTTAATTCATTTGTAGTAATTTCGGATCCAAAGCAAACTTAACTTTGTAATTCAAAACAACGTTATAAACTATCTAACTGCTACTGTTTTGTAATGGTAAAAGTGTGATAGACAGTCGACTCTCTATTAAAAAACATCTAAATTAGTAGTAGTATTGTTCATAGTAATATTGTTTTTAATTCCGTAACTGGTCGTACAGAGTAATTTTGTTTTTATTGCATCATATTGATCAATGATTGCAAATCATCTTTACAATTTCAGACCCAATCAATTGATCACTTCGATCACACAAACAATGATCCGCAAATTGTGCATTAATTGCATGCATGTTATCTAAAGCCTAATACAATACCTGAACTAATTACCATACGCACCTAATTTACACGATGAGTGAGTGTTTAATGAGACGTACATTTGATTGCAACACCTGCCACTATTCTAAACGATACGATTGAGAATTTACATAGTAAATACCATTTAGATTTGTGCTTCGATTTGCATCTGGATAATGTATCAAATTTTTTTTACATCATTAAATTATTTCTAGGATTGGATATTTTATAAATCCACATATTCAATATACGTGTTGATTCTCATGATTCATTGTCGTGACGTCTATCTACCAAAACCTCTCTGTATGCGTAGTAAGCGTAGTACATGGAAAACGTTCCAACAATGTTTTCTGGGTAAAGAAGAAATTCATCGTACAAAATCACATATGAAATCAAAATCAAAACAATACATTTTATTAATGGTATTATGTTAACAGCATTGTTGTGTTCCGGCAGTTGGTGGTAAAATAGCCAGTTGCTCCGTGGTTGAGGATTCCGGGTGAAGCTCGCTTTCACCTTCGGCCTGATCGTCACTTACCATCAGGTGAGATACAGGTCAAGAGCTTCCTCGTTGTGGATAAAAAAAATTGTAAACTACAGTGAAAAATACCAACTTTGCCCGACTTTACTAATTCTTTCAATTTTTGTACGCTGAAATAAATTTCTTTATTTCTTACAACTCCAAGATTATGTGCATGTGAGACTCATTTCTATAAAACATACAAATAATATCTGTTCCTGGAAAGGTAGTCTGAATTTTCCATTTAACTTTTTCCCTACCTGTCTTTTTCCGCCCTATATGCACCGGTGTAATGGTCCATTGATAGCAGCAGCTAAAACGGCACGCGGGTGCAGTCAATTACTCGGCTGGCGAACACTGAGAGCCGTAATTAGCTGCACACCTGCCGTCCCAATTTCTACTCGTATGAATTCCATGGCTGTTGGCGATTGAACGAGCATCGATACGACGGTTTTCATTGACTAATCGAGTGGCGGGACTCGATGAGATGCGCGTATTGTGATTTGGATTTGAGTCTCGTTTTCGTTTGATGGTTTTGAGTTTCATTTGCTTCTGCGGTTGTACTGCCTGCTGCTGTTACTGACACCGAACTACAAATAACAAAAAGGGACCTCCTCTTTTAAGTGGACTATTATACAGGGTGTTTGGCGCATCGTGTGCCAAACTGATTTGGCAGATAGAATGGGTCATTTCCTATATTTTCAGTCCCCATAACACGTTCCATGCCAGGCGGCTACTTTTATATTAATTTTTTTAGTAATTTTAGTAATTTCACCAAAATACCCAAATCGCATCATTTAATTTCGATTTAAAAAAAAACTACTAGGCGTAGCCTCAAAGTAAATATTTTGTTTTGACGTGCATTGATGTAGGGTTGCATCAAATCTAAATTTACTGGCAAATATCATCCAGTTTTTTTTTAATTCAGCTTTGAAGTTTCCCTAAAAGTTAAAAATGGACTGAACATTTAAGTTTACATGGCTATAAAAAAATAAATAAAAGAGATAGCGATCTTCGGATTTTATCAAAACTTCTCTAGTCTATTCCCATTTAAACGGTATACTAATCTTGTTTAAATAATAACAATAACTTCACAAATTCCTTAAATTAGTGCATTGACTCTACTCGGACTGATTTGCGAAATTTGTGTTTATAGCCCCTTTTGTGTGAATAGCACGTTATTAAACACCTAACAGGTAAAAATTATTTATCTTATGCAATGTAAAAACCTTTTCCCTATCGTTTTTCAATGTGGATTTCTTGAACTATAGTGATAGGCATTTTGATGAAGGAATTTGCCTTATTCGCGATTGCATGCGCGACTCTGGCGCATATCCGGCTCACTGTCGGCTGACTTAGGCCATGGAGGTCACCAGCATCATCTTGTACCTGAAAATGTATGAAAATAATTATAGCAGCCACGACAAAGGGATAAAATAAAACACTTTTTTGTGCTTACCTCACGACGTCCCCAACATCTTATGGCCACTAAAACTTGCAGTTCAGGACACGTGCCACCACCTCTAGCGCTCTGAACCAGATCATCTTCCACCAAATCTATGATGGTGCGCACTGTGTCCTTATTGAACCTATATTTTATTTTAAAATTTAGGTCCCGCAAATCGAATGGGTTGCTTCGTTGGCGGTAGAGCTTTCTACGTCGCGCTGGGTCGGCATTATTGGCTAAATGCACAATTGCATTTATAGCATTCATTTTCACAAGCAAGGATCACAGCAAGGATATTTTGAATAAATAAACCAACGAAGTGACATTCATATGAAATGACATTTATAAAAGTTAGGTTAAAATAGGTTTATTAGAGCTTTAAACAAGGCCCGAGCTCTCGATAACTTATCACACAGTTATAAGAGGATTTTAGCGCTAAATGACGATTATGAATAACAATTTTTATCAAACTTTTTATAAACCTCTAATAAGCATTTGATAAAATGTGAAAAATGATTATGAATAAGACCGTAACAGTTAACTAGTGTCTAATCGTTAAAAATGTGTGTCTATAATAATTACAGCTTTAGATGTAAATAATTGAGATAAAGTTTTCGTTTTCAGCTAAGGTAATGGGCGCTTTACTTAAAAAATGTTTACAATTAATTGTGATATGATGACGATGACTATGAAATGATAAAATCTTGTAAAGAAACCCGAAATCATTTTTTTACCCGCACAACAGCTCTTAGGAAAATAATATCAAGCTTTAAAATCTTTCACGGTAGCTCTAACATGTTCTAAATACGTTTATCTGCTTATGTGCTTAATGCCGCTTATATGCCTTCCCTGTCCCTATACGAAGAAATACTAAGTAGGGTGTGTACTGCCGAAAGTAGCTTAGGGAAATTGTTCTTGATGTGCTTTTGCCATTCGCAAATGCGACAGATGGGTAAAAACGTAATGCGGATTATTTGGGAAAATGTTTTGTCTAAATTGAATAAGTTAACAGACGTTTTTATAATTCCAACCTCTCGTTCCAGCTTTTTTAGACTTCAGGCCTGTACGGATATTGGTCCAAAAGATAGTTTTTACTCGATAACTTTTGGTTACCGAATGATTTAATTTAGTTTAGCTATGGGGAAAATCTTTTTTATGGGAAAATCAATCTCTCCAGTGCAAAGCGACAGTAAAATTGCAAAGATTAAAAATAAGGTCAATCGCGATTGCTACTAAAAAGTAAAAATATTCCAGTACTTCTGATTTCATTTCGTTTCTCGTTCCAGGTAAAAAGTCGAAGGGCGAGCGTTCAATTAGGCAGTTTTATGGTGCCCTTCGGCTGAGCGCTGCGAACAATAAAATACGTAAAAACATGCCGTTTGTTCATAAATTTCCACACTAATTTCTGGCCGGGACATGCGACTCCCCGGGATTATAAAAACAAAAATGAACTTTCGTAATCTTAAAAGTTTCGTAGTTATTCAAGTTTTGAACAAACTTTTTCGGAGATCTGCTACGGTTAGAAATATTGAGGTTGTTACTCTGGTTTGGTTTATTGAAATTCAGTGTCTGACTGAGACATACGATTAAAGAAGGATTAGGAGTAGAAGAAGGATTATTTTAGATAATAAAAGGTAAAATTGCTTTCTGAACGTTCAAAAGTTGCAGTTGGTCTATTATCTAGAACTTTTTTTTTGGGAATTAGTTGAGACAACTGCAAACTCAAATATAAATAAATGTTAGACAACGATTCATAGTTCGTTGCTGGCGCAGCTAGTAAAAATATGGAAAAGCATAAACACTAATGCTCTATTTAAAGAAGATGCATCGCTGATAAAGACATAGAAGCTGGGAAAATCGATGGGAAATAGCTATTCTTAGCCAGGTTACACCGGCCAAGTTTTTATGCTTTTTTAACCCTGCTCTCGTCGCGTACTCTTAAAAATATTCAGTCCTTTCAAAAGTTTCAACCCTCAAGATACCATCCGATTTTGAAAAGTTCTGAGCTAAATTGTAAATAAGATTAATATTACAGAGATAGTTGAAAAAAAAAAGAAAAAATAGTTAACTAAGTTATGAATGCGGAAGAAACTTTTGAAGCCACAACGGCGTCGGCAACGGATAGGCCGGTTCTAGATTCAAGAGTCGTTAGTTTCGATTCCCGTTGACCGCTGGACTATTGTACTGTAACAAAAGCTTACTTGAAAGGGTTAACGGGAATATTAGGAGTTTGTATACCACTAAAACTGATTAAACTATTTTTTGAAAGGGGAAAAATAAATAATTGAGTATTCTCTAAAAAAAAGCAAGTTGTTCTCAACCATTGTAGAGTTAACTACACATTTCTCGGCAAAATAAAGCAAGCTCAGCAAAGTAGAGCAAAGCCGGGCACTGAAGTGTGAGTCTTTTTGCTTCACCGTAGAAGCAGTTACTTTTAAAATTTAACACGTTTAAAAACAACGTAAATGCTTTGTTGGTTCTTAATTTCATAAAATTTCAGGTTACAAGAAAAGGCTGTGTAAACTAGTCTAGAGTTACGTTATTACAAAGCTCGTTTTCTTAATGGTTTATTATAAAGAAAAAACTAAAAGGAACGCCTTTTCAAAAAATGTTATAACTATCTCACCAAATAATCCGTTTTTTTTTAGCAAATTGTATACGTAGCTACATAATAAATATAACTGATTATGGTTTAGGTATATAAAAACATGTATAAACGTTGATATTCTTCGTCGGTGAATCAACAATCATAGCATATCATAGAAGGCATAGAAGCACAAAATACCTAGATACGCAGTCCGGTACGGATAAACATACTAAATAAATACGTAATGGCAAATTCAAAGGAGTCGCCTAAAATGTTGTAGTTACTCGTATTTACACGAAGTCCTTGGACCCAAATAGTAAATATACTTAGTGAGAAAAAATAAGCCTATCCAATCAAACTACTAAACTAGATGTTATCAAAAGAGCGATGAGGTTCTTGACGGTTCCTTGTTCCCAAGCGGCCCAAGGTCGGTAGACTTATATTCCTCTGGCTATTTGCTCCCGATCTTTGGGAATACTAAAAGCTCCATTTATTGACAGATTGATGGACCGACGACCTTATAAAGGTAGCAGGAAGGCGCTGGATGCAGGCCGCTACCAATCAGTTATTATGGAAATCATTGAGGGAGGCCTATGTTCAGGAGTGGACGTCCTATGGCTGAAATTAATCATGATGATAATCATTACGGTTAGCGATACTCGCATTTAGTTTACAAAAAATATTAAAACGTACAACAAAAGGTATAATTATTTATTATTTAACCAAGAATTATTTGTCATAATTGCGCTACAACTCTCATTTTCACACAATAAGCAGTTCCGACTCGTTCCGTCTGTCTCCAACACTGTTGCTTTTTGCGCGAGAAACTTTCCCTTTGCTGAAGTGCAAACTTGTGATTTAATAATACCATTTCACTACAGAATCAAGTATCAAGTTAATCTGAGCGCTCAAGGCACGTTATGAAGACGTTAAGTTCCGGACTCCGAAATTGCTTTATCGATTTTAATAAAGACTTTGCTTTGATAATATCAACTACACGTAATAAGTATGAACTATTTAAACGGCTTACTAACGATCTAGCTTGTTCTATGATTTCTACGAGTTTGGTCGAGCTTGAACGTGAAAAGGTTTTCGGTTTATTTTCCTCGGAACAAAGTTATCTGTGCACAAAGTTACCTTTTGTAAGCAGTGTTCTGTAATATTTCAGTTGTTTATTTCAGAGTTTGAAAGACTTTATTTTGTATTCCTGTCATGATGACAACAAACAAAAAAAACTTTCTTCCTGTAGGACCCATAGTGTAAGGTAGTTGCGCTGGGCGTAAAAATTCCCCTTTGTTTATTAAGGATCAACATGCGTTGCCTGCACATCAAGCTGGACATGTGTACTTAATAGGTTACGATTCCAGGCATTAATTATTGATTAAAAAATATCTCTTAACTGCCTATTTGTGTTGTGATTCCATTTATTTATTTCTTTTGTATGAAGTACCTAAAATTACTGGTGTCTCTAAAACATTAATCTACCTAGCTTTGGTGTACTAGCAAGTGGATAACTGGTATTAAACGACGAATTGATAAATATGTAATTCAGATCACGCCTCGGTCACCCAAAATTAGCATTTGTAATGTCATGCCGAGGTGAAACGGGGCATAATGCTGAAATATGCGCTAGATAAAACTACGGCCTATCTGCGGATGTAAATCTGCCGATAAGTATGACACGTACGCGCGAATAAATCTCGCAAAGTGATACTATTTGTGACAACATTACGTAGGCGGGCCGTCCCACTGGCAGAGATTTGAATCTAATCATTTTTCATTCATATCTACCACTTTACGATCTGTGGTGAGAGAGATCGAGGGTTCTGTTCCTAAATGAAGTCCCTCTGTGTACCGATTTTCTGTTGGTAACTTGCTGACTTCAACTGTTTAAATCAGCCGGGCTAGGATGCGCGCTGTGATAAAGTCTTATCGATGATTTTAGACGACAAATGTATGGGCTTATCGCGTGAAATCGATAAAATGACGTGATAAAAGCTTATCGCGGCGCGCATCCTAGGTCTACTGGTAAAAAATATGCTAGTTTGGTATTATCTCGCAAAGTACTATTTGACAACATTACGGTAGGCGGGCGGAATCCTGGCAGAGATTTGAATCTTATAATTTTTCATTCATAACCGCCACTTTACGATCTGTGGTCTCCCTCGATCTCCCTAATCGAGGGTTCTACATGGTTCTTCTCCTAAATTAAGTCCCTCTGTGTACTGGTTTTTAATTGGTAACTTGCTGTCTTCAACCGTTTTTAATAAGTATCTAGTAAAAATATGTTAGTTACGTTACATTACGGTGGGCGGGCGGGACACTTGCAGAGATTTGAATCTAATCATTTTTCATTCGTATCTACTACTTTATGGTTTTTGAGAGAGATCAAGAATTGGATTTATAAATTAAGTTTCTGGTTTTCAGTTCTGAACTTGCAGAGTTCAGTTGTTTATCTGCTATGCCATTTTCTAGGTTTAGTTAGAATTTTCTCTGATCCGAACTAGAAGTCATAAGCGTTGTCAGTTGTCACCATCAATCCCTAATTTTTAACTGACCCCTATGAAAATCAAAATTCCTTTTATGTGTTACTATAGGGGTCACTTAAAAATTAGGGCTTGATGGTGAACACGGGCAATTGTGTACTCCGAGCGCCATTGCTGGAGCATTTTTAAGATAAGTATTAATGAATAGTCACGAGTCGTGCGGTAGATAACTAGCTATTATCCTAGGAAATTTGGTATTTTCTATCCAATCACAAGAAACATCCTCGAATAACTATTGACATTAATATATTTGTAAGAACAGAGTTTCATAACTAACCCAACTAAAGTTATTATAGCCTTAGGCATTGGTCTAGACGGCGTTATTTCATAGAATAA